GTCTGCGTTGGGCACATGGCCAGACATGTGGGGCCGTTTTGCTGGCTCAGGGTGAACAGGCTTTTTCCTGTATATCTAAAGCTGTTTTCTTTTCCTCTTCTCTTGAAAAGTACCAGAGTTCTATGTTTTGTCTCTGGCCTTTCACCTGTGGTGGGTTTGTAGGAACATTGTGAGAACAAGTCTTTATAAATGCTGTGGTTTCCAAGCATGTTCCTTCTGCGGAGAAAACTCTGCTCAGAAATCTAAACCCCTCCTGATCCAGCAAGGTCTTATTCTCTTTTCGCTTTGTGTGCACAGGTAACTTAAGCAGAAAACTTATCAGTCATCACTAGCTAAGCTGCTGTAGGTTGCTCTGAGCCCAGGCAGGCCACGTACACACCATATCCCTGCTGTTGTCTATGTTCATCCTACAGAATAAAATCGCTTTCAGAACGCACGCAGACACGCACAAGTGTCCTTCTCTGTTTGGCAGTTTCTCACAACTGCTGCCAGTTTCGTGCCAGGATCAGACCTGAGGCTCCTGCTGCAGCAAGACCTTCAAAGGGAAATCTTTTCGTAAGACTCATGCTGCTCCCACATGCCCTTCCCAGCACAGTCCCACCACAGCAGGTTTGCACCATGGCCACGGGGCAGGTTGTGTGGACACAGGTCCCGCTGATGGAGGAGGAGATGCCATCCCCAAGGCTCCCTGGCCTCTGGCCAAAACAGAGTCACAAATCCCCCATGGCCAGCCAGGTCTTGGTGGGTCCTGGCCACCCAACATCACTGGCTCCAGGGTGGGAAAGCACTGGCCACACAGCAACTACCCTCAGGCGTCCCACAGTCCCTTGCCCCCCACTGCAGGAAGCCCAGTCTGAGCTCCATGGGGCTGCCTGAAGACCCCTGCTCAGCCTGAGGCTCCCCATACCCTGGGGTCTCAAAGCATCACACCCACCCCACGGCATGAACCCCCCTCCTGGTGACTTGAAACCCCTCAGGGGCATCTCTGACCCCCCAACCCCCTTGCTCCAGGGTGGAGCTGGGACTCCAGCTCCCCCAGCCATGGCACGGGGCAGTGCAAGAAGAGAGTGAGTCTCGGGGGATGCAGCAAATAGGCCCCCCCATGAACATGATGTGCCCTCAGCATCCTCCATTGTCCCAGGACCATGACTGCTCCCGTGTGCGTGTGCAGTGACACAGTGGCAGGTAGGCACAAGGCAGCAAAGTCTGGCTCCAGGGTTTATTGCAGCTGATTTTTCCCACCATGGGTAGCAGAGCTGTGGGTTGTAGGAGGCCCGGGGAGGGAGCAGGGCCTGATCAAAGCAGGGATACACTGATTGCACAGGGAAGGGAACTTGCACTGTTTCCCTCTGCCCAGGACAGGAGCGGGTGCACCCATCCCAAACCAATGTCTGCACCCCAGCGCTGGCCAACACTGGGGCACTGGGCAAAGCTGCTCCAGGCAATTGCTCTTGAGCCGCAGAGCCCCTGTGTTTCAGCTGGTGCTGGTGCAGAGGCTGTGGGCAGAGCAGGACGTACACTGGGACTGGCACAGGGCTGCTGGCAGGCACAGGAATGGGGTGCTGAGCTGGGGATGGTGGCACACCCCAAACTCCGGGAGGCTGGGCACTGCCTCAGCACACGTCTGTGGGTTTGACCAGGATGAGGGAGGATGCACAGTCGCCATTATCACAGAATCCTGGCCAGACGATGCGGTTTTTGGCATTGAGCAGGACGTTCTGGCACCTGTCGTACCACCAGCCCCCGTAGCTGCTGGCACAGTTCCCACTGTACTGGTCCTGGTCCTTGTCGGTTGTGCTGAACTTCATGTTGTCATGGATGCCCCCCTTCTTGGGGTGATAGAGCGTCAGATAATCGTCTCCATCACCAGAATACCGGCCCAGCCTCAGCGGGTACCCACTGGCCTCACTCTCCACCCTGAAGATGTCGTACTCAGCAAAATGGGTGACGTTGGCTTTATTCCGCACGACGAAGCGGACCTTGTAGGTGCCCTGCTGTGTCAGTAGGTGCAGGTACTCAGTGCCCAGCCAGTGATCGCCCTGCACGTTCCCAAAGCCGTACTTGTAGGTGGTCCAGGATTGCTTCCACGTGAGCTCAGTGTCATGAGAGTTTCTCTGGACAACAGTCCAGCCCTTGCCTTCGGTGTCCATGTCACACCAGACCACGCGTGGGGGAGACCGTGCTGGCTGGATGACGTACACCCCACTGGGGCTGTTCTTGCGGAGATGGCTGCAGTCTGCGGGGAACCCTGCGGCGGCAGCAGTGGCAAACACAGGTTGGGGTGGGAGAGAGAAGAATCATATGAGTCTCTCAGTGCAACAAGAAGCTCCTGTAGGGAATGAGGACTCAGGACAAAAACGGCTGGTTTATCTGTGGTCTATTCTACAGCATAGAGTGGCTTTTCCACTGGCTCATCCATAGGGCAACCAAAGGTCTCTAGGACAGTGGCCCTGGTAAGAGCCCTAGGATCTATTTCTCATTACTTTCTACTTCATTTGGAGCCTTCTGATGAATCTGGCCAATAAAAAGGGGAAAAAAGTCTTCCTGATGCCAGTGATGTCCTGCAAGTATATCTGGCCCTCACACAAGGCCCTTAATATATCAAGCTGCAGTTCTTGCAAGGATCATAAGTGCCCAAAAATGCTCCAATGGATGAGGATATGTAATTAAAATCGATGTTTTCCCTAGAATCATGGTTTTGCAAAAGAAGGCTAAGTTTCTCCTTCACAGGGATCTCTTCCATCAGCTTGTTGCAGTTCATCTGCTGGCAGGACTGATCTGTCATGACTTACTTGCTAAACTAATTTGCTGTCTAATTTGTTTTTCTTGGTTTGTATCTGACGAGGGACAATTTGCTGTGGGCAGTTCCAATTCAGCACATGAAATTCTGTTTCCCTTGGGCACATGGGTCTTGCAGGGAGTGTAACCCCACCTTGCAGAGAGGAAGGGAATACTCCTAATGCAACTACAATAAATCATTTAAAAAAAGGTGCTGGGAGGATTTCTCCTAGAACTGAAGTGTAAAATGACACAAGCACCCCAGAGCAATCCTGCCAAGTTATGGCGTTTGCACAGAAACCCCTTGGTTTCAGCATGGAGCCACCAAGGAGGTGAGGATGGTGTCAGGCTGCTTACTTTACAAACCATGGCCCAGGGGTCTGTGTGTGTATCAGCCCAGGTGCATGATGGCACTTAGCAGACCTGAGAGTCAGTGCTGAGCTGAGGAGACAATGTCCTGCTCCACACCTTGGTGCCCAGTCAGTGCCCCCCGCCCCATTCCATACTCACCACTCCGGGAGCTGGCAGTGGGTGCTGCTGGGCCAGCACTTGCACCGAGGACAAGCATCGCCACCACTGTGGGTAGGAGGAAAAGGCCCCCATGGAGCAAACTTGTTCTAGTCTGGAGCCCTGGGAAGGGAAGGAAAGGGCCCAGCACCATCAGGATCTCTGGGCAGTCCCCTCTGCCCCTGCCAACAGCCCCCCATGGAGCTGGGATGAGGGAAGGCAGAGCCACAAGACACAGGCAGGAGCAGGCAGCTCCCAGGGTGATGGGAGCTGAAGCTTCAGTGCAGGCTTTGCCCTTGCAGGGCTGAAACAAGGTGAGAAAAGGCTTTATCACCTTTCTGGTCAACCCCTTCCCTGCACCAGACAGTAACCTGCAGATCTGTTCTTGAAACCTGCAGCCCAGGAGTAGCTAAGAGGACAGCAACACAGCCAGATCTGGGGAGAGTAGTTTGATGGGGAGGAGGACTGCAATAAAAAGTTCTACCTGGAGCAATCATGCTTAAGCCTGTTACACAAACCACTCCAGCCCAATGACAGCTAGTGAGAAATCAGCGCCAACTGATGGGTCCTATTGCACAGACACCGGCTCCCAAGCAGACAGGAGGAAGTCTCACAGCGACACAAGCCCAGACCCTCTGTGCTGGCCACCAGCACACTCCTACAGCCTGCACTAGCTCAGCTACTGGGGGAGATGCCATCGCATCTGGGGAAGGAGCCCTGTGCAACCACATGTGCCACATGCATTGGTCAGAAAGGGAAAGGGCCATGTGGAAATCTAGGTCTCCTCATTAACCTCCCTTGACAGGACATGACAATACAGGGCAGAGGTAGCATGGGGAAAGCATAGGCTAGCACCAAGCACGTGTGTCATTTGGTGCTTTCATCTTGCATCCCTTCTGCTACCATAGTGCCCCACAGCATGCATCACCCAGGCAAGATCACGGCTGCTGTCCTGCTTACCACCTTGTGCCTTTGTATACTCACCCCAGTCATGTCCTGTTTGAGCCCAGCACCACACATGAATTAAGTGTGCTGCTGGGAAGATAACTCACCCATCACAGCAGCACAGCTGAGCGGAGAGCAGGAACCCAGTGGTGCACCCTCCCATGCTGAGTTATCCACGGTGACTTTATAGGCACTGCATACACCCACTTGTGCTCACACTCGTTATTTGTAGAGGCACAAGGAGGCACTTGCAGACTGTGACTCGAGCAGTTTTCAGATCTCATGACAGCAGCACAGCTAAAGCCCTTGAGGACAGGGAGGCATGCCCCTCCAGCCAGAGAAGTACAAAGTAATACCCTCCATGATGAGGGATTTCAATTATTGACTGTCCCAGTTACACAAACACTACATGTGAATTGCTCACTTGGAGCAAATTCTGGAGAGCCACGATCAAACTGAAGTGGAGAGACCCAGCTTTTTTAAGGACATACACACAGTAAGTAGCAAAGAAGGAAAGATTAGGTCTCCTATGTGTCCAGTCCCAGAAGTGACCTTGGAAAGATGAGGACAGGTCCTCAAGAGACGTGCCTGCTCGCTAACTGGTGCCAACTAACCACTGGCAGGTTTCAGGATCGATGAGTCAACTCACTGGGTTGGAACCAGGGTGCAGCAACCAGAAGTCACGGTGCCCCCTGGCACCCCAATCTGCATGATCTGAGTAGAGGGCAAGGGCTCCAGGTAACAAACAGGTGACTGTGGGGCCCTTCACCACTTTCCTTTCCAATCTCTGTCTTTGGCCTGGTGAGACCCTGCAGATCCCCAGAAATGCCAACCAGGGGTTGCTCCCTTTACAGGAGCAGATGTTCTCAGGATTGATTATTTGGGAGGACTGTACAGGCAGCTCCACCACTTTGTGAAACCAGTGTCAAGAGGATAAAAATGTTTGGATAAAGATGTTTGTTCAAGAGGATAAAGATGTGCTTTCTTCTCCTGTGTTGGTTTCAGTAGCCTGCTGATCAGATGTCTTCTTTATGGCATGTGGGGTAAAAGCAAGCCAGTCTCAAGCCGAGGCTCCCACCAAACCTCTGTACTGCAGGAGCCCACATCAAGCAGTGCAACTTGCAGGTCTGGATGGGCAGCAGCATCCAGACCTTTCCAAGGTAAGGGATCCATGGATCAACTTCCATCTGAACACTTACATGTCACCCCTGCTTGCTTGGTTAGAGGTTGGGAGCCCTTGTCCGCAACCTCATTTGTTTCTGGAGAATCATAGACGCAGCACTCCCAAGTCTATGGAGGGAGAAGGTCTCAAGCAGTACTGGAAAGAAGGACGCCTTTCTGTGGGGACAGGGGAAATGGGTGACTTAAGAGCTCCCATGAGCTGCCCCCGCAGCTAATGCCAGTGCTGAGCAATGCAATGCCTCATAGCGTGCAGGGTGCCTGTGCCAGGGACAGCAGGTAGGCTGCTGCTGGTGAGGCACCACCGCGGTCACTGTTGGCAAGAGGGCTGACAGATGCAGCAGGAACATGGGCTGGGCAGAGTATGGAGAGGAGTCCTCCCCTGCTGCTGGGTACAACAGGCTCCACTGGGCTGCTCCAAATAGCTGCAAATGGGATTTCCTTCAAAGAAAGAGCATGTCAACAGGACAGCTTATCTACAGCCCAGCAGAGACACAGGTTTGACTCTAGCTCATATTCCAGTGGATGGTCTTCAAAGTTGTCACAGGCTTTCTGATTCAGACTAACGCTGGACCTCTTTCTAAGACAGCTGCAAGAGGACCTTTGAGATGACACAGGTTGGAAGCAGAGCTAAGGCCAACAGCCAGTGCTTGCACTCCAGAGACGCACAGCAAAGGGCACCATGGGCTCAAGGGAAGAGGACAAAGGCACAAGCAAGCACGTTCTGGTGCAGGCAGCTCTGCATCTAGCACAAGGCCTGGTGTCATGGCTTTGCTCCCGCAGATATACAGAGGCAGAAGGGCTGGGGAGGGTCCTCTTCAAAGAACCAGAGAAACAGTGAGACCAGGAGGACCGCCAAACGCCTCTGCCCTGATGTCAAGGCCAAAGCAGTGCCAGCTTAGAATGGGTTGCTTAGGGTCATGTCTGGCTCAGTAGTGAAACTGCCAAGGAATGGAGATCCCACAACTTCTCTCTCTCCCCCCATGCCCCAGGCTTTGAACACCCTTAGGCTGATTTTTCTCTGATTCTAACTTCCCTCCCTTCCTTCATGTCCATTGCCTCCCATCCCATCCCTGTGCACCTCCAAGGAGAACCATGGAACCACAGGAATCACAGAGTGAGAATAATTTAGGTTGGGAGAGATCTCTGGGAGTCCAATCCCTGCTCAAAGCAGAACTAAAAATCGGGTCCTTGTCCAGTCAACTCTTGAATCTCCCTAAAGATAAAAATCCCACAGCCTCTCTCCAGGTCCATGTTCCAGTATTTGACCAACTTCATGTTAAAAAAAAGTCCCTAATTCTAACTGGAATTTCCATGTTCCAATTCAGACCCATTGCTTCTCATCCCATGACCATGCACATCCTTGAACAGTTTGGCTGTTCATGTTCTCTGTATGCTCCCATGAGGGAGATGGACTCAGCAATAAGACCTCCCTCTTGCCTGCTCTTCTGCAGGTGGAGCAAGCCCAGCTCTCCCAGGTTCTCCTGACACATCCTGAGCTCCAAGCCATTGACCAGCCTGGTGGCCTCCACTGAATGTGCTCCAGTCTGTCAGTATGTTTCTTTTAATAAGGGGTCCAGAATGAGACACAGTGCTCTGAGAAGCTTCTGCCTGCTCCCAAGGAACAAGGGTTGGGACAAGAGGAAGCAGCCTCAAGCTGCATTGGGGGAGGTTTAGTTGGAGATGTGAAACAATTCCTTCCCCAAAGGGTGCTCAAGCATTGGAACAGTCTGCCCAGGGCAGTGATGAGCTCCTCAGTGCCATGGGTTAGTGGTGGCCTTGGCAGTACTGGGCAGCATTTGGACTGGATGATGTGAAAGGCCTGTTCCAACCAAAGTGATTCTATGATTCTAAATCCATGCTGTAAGCACTCCTATAGCAGAGAGGGACTTGAAGTGAGACCATTTTACGTCAGTGTCACATCACAATTCCCAAAAATCCTTGTGATTGCTGCAAAGGCCATGGTGCTGGAGGAGACCACACTGTGCATTGCGCAAGAGGCAGCACGGTGGTGGTCAGCCAGGCACGGCAGGAGGCACATGGAGTGGCACTTTCTGAAGGCAGGAGCACAGTTTCCCAGGAACACTGGAGTACCTCTTCTCTGAAGAGTCTGGTGGGGTCCCCAGTCGCTGTTGGGCCCGATGCCTGCTCTGAAGAGGGATTTACGCCTGATGTTTGATTTCTGCCCAGGAGGGGAATGTCATTTGGGTATTTACATACGAGTTGAATTGTGCAGAGGTGCCCAGAGGATGGCATTCCCTGGGGAAACCCTGCCAGGGGAGGGGGGCAGCCAGGCACTGTAAATCACAGATTTGGTTTAAGACATTTGCTTATTGGCACCAAATTATTTGCTTTGCCTCTGAAGAAAGCTGTTCACCTTTGTGAGACACAGCCTCCATTGTCCGAGGACATACCACTTAATGATGGAGAGCAAATAAGCCATTAAGCCACTAGTTCTGTTGCCAACCAGAGGACAAGTGGTTTGCGTCTTGTGCCTCCACCCCCTCGCCTGCTGAGCCCTATAACTTTCAGGCTGGACACCCCTCCAGCCAGGCCAAAGCCACTCGGCTTCCAGCTCGGCAGGGTCCCCGCAGTGACGGCATGGGTGAGTGCGGGATGGGACGGGAGGGGACAGCACTGCTGCGTGTAGCATCCCAGCACTTTGTTTTCTGCAGGGCTCCCTTCTCCCCACACCCTGGCTATCCCAGCTTTAAGTCCGTTACATTGTCTGGGCTCGCTGTGCCCCAGGCTGGGAACTGGAGCAGGAGTCTGCGTGTTCTGCTATTTTCAGGCTGTATCAGTGTATCTGGAGTGTCAGACAGCCCATTTTTAAAGCCTCATATTTACCATACGTTCTTCATGATTTTCAGTTCTCCAAAGAAAGTACTGAACACCCTAGAATAGAAAACTAAAGTTTTAGATATTCTTGCTTAAGGAGTGATATTGAACAGGTATCAAGATCTGGAGGTAAGATGCTCGAAAGCACACTGCTGTCCCCAGAAGAACAGCCAGGAGAGGCTGACACTCTTCCCTGCATCTTCTTCCTACTCAGATCTTTCATGACCATTCATGAGGGAATGGGCCAGCAGTGGAGGGACCATCACTTCTGTAGGGCTTAAAGAAGAGATGCCTTTAAACACACCCCTAAACACAAGTGTGTGAAGACACTAAATGTTATGTAGATATTGAGAAGCAAATCACTACCAAACCTAGCGCACTGCAATACATTTGGCTCTGGTGCTTTCCAAGCAGTAGAGGGATTACACTGATAATCCGCCAAGGTGAGCAGGGAAATACACACAGCCCTTCCTGGGTCTTGTTCCCACCCAGACATCAGGGTTCTTACTGACCACAGAGCTGGCCTGTAGGCAGGTGTGGTCCCAGCTTACACCATGTGAGTGTGTTATGACTGTGTGATGGGAGCGGGGAGGAAAGGGGATTCTTCCCTCCATGCTCATCCTGCTTGTTATCTCCAGCCCCAAAACGTGGGTTTACAGGGATTTCTGATTACAGCCACCTTGTGTTTGGACAAGGTTTTCATCCTTCTTCTGTCTCAAAAACCACCAATGGCAGATGCCACCGCTGATGACTCCTGTCAGTGAGCGTATGTCAGCTCATCTAAATAGTGAATGGGGGCTTAGAGCTCCAAAAGGGAGCTCTATACATAAATAAGTTTATTTTCCTATTTTATTCTGCAAGTCAAGGAGTCAAATGAGATTCATGGCTCTCCAATGGAAAAGTTATGATCACTTTCTTCTTTTTCCATCTCTTCCCATTTTAGCTGCCCAGCACCTTTGTCCCCTGCTTTTCACCTGCCTGCTGGCTCTGGCAGCATGTCTGCCTGCCTTGGACATCAGAAACTTGCATCTCCTCAATGGCACGCTGGATGAGATCATGAACGTTCCCCCAGAATCCTCCCAGTCTGGTAAGTGTATCACTTAGAAGGGAGGGGCAAACAAGGTCTCAATCAGTCAGATCCTACACAGACCTCCTCACCAGCCTAACCAGACCCCTGTAACATGGAGGAAGGACTAAATACTACTCTGTGTGTGTGTGCAATGCCAATGTAATATAGACCATCTTACTGGAGCAAGAGCCATCTCAGAGCTCTCCTCTGCTTGCTGCCTGTCTCTTCTTCTGTCTGGCATGAAGTTCTTCTCTCCCTAAGTGAGTCAATAGCCCAAAGCCCAAAGTTCTCAGGATCCCAGGAGAAGGGACAGGTTTGGCCTCATTGGCAACAATACCAGGCTAAGGGTGTTGTGGGCCATGGGCTCTTCCTTGGAGAAGCAGTATTGAAGATGTTAAGGCAAATAATCACAGTGTGTTTTGATGACATGGAGAGCAGTAGCTGCCTCTGGAAATCACAAGACCAGTGGAGAACTGAATGCAAGAGAGAGTGAATACAAAGAGGAACGAAATGAAGTTAATACAAAGTGTCTAAGCAGTGGCACTGACACAGACCAAGCAGCCAGATGATGGCACAAAGTAACCTACAAATACCAGGTCGTATGGGAGCAATGAGGAAGCCTCCAAGAAATGCTTCTGGAATACAACTGAGGGCTGAGGGTGGGACGTGACCCAACAGAAATGGCTGGTTCGCTTCCAAGAGAGGAGGAAGAATTCTTGTCAGAGGAGCTCAAGGTCCAAGTGCTTGATGCTGGTTCCACATCAGGCTCCACTACAAAGGTCAGCTGTCAGGGAACTGCCAATACAGGGAGCAGCCATGGCTGTCACAAGAGCTTGGGCTTCACCAAGAACAGCAAGTCTGAGCAGAGAAAGGGGATGTGCTCTGAGCTTCACACTCATCTCTCACTCAGACCACTCTGAAAATGTGAGCAGCATAAATTCAAGATGGGTGAGGAGGGAGGCATGCCAGAGAAGACAGGAGGGCTACCAAATGGATGGGAAGTGAAGGCAGAAAGGAGCCAGGGCAGACTGTCGCTTACAAAATGAACAGGAGTGATTAGCTTCATATGATTGTAAGTAAAAGTAAATACCATCTTACATGAGTGTTTCTACTGCACTTCAACAACCATCTTTCCAGTTGTTTCCAGACCCCTTAGTCTTTCACTCACACAGTGTGTCCAAATCCTTCTCACCAAGGAAGCATCTGCCCCATTTTAACACCACATAGATTCCCCTAACTACCAACTGGCTGATATCCGAAGCGGTAAAGTCCCTATGGAACTGGAGCAACAACAGCAAAAACCAGGAATATCATCTGGAGAATAACATGGTCTCCCAGCAGGCATTTGAGATATGTGCTCTCAACACTCACTCCTGTCTCCTCTGTTCTTGTTAATTCAGATAATGGTACCCAACATGTTCGACAGGTCAGAGATGTCGCCCCCCACCCACCAGCAGGCCATGGTAAGTCTCTTCTCACGTACTACATCTGCTCAACAGGTTTCACCATTGCTGGGCTCACGAGGAGCTCCCAGCTGCCTTAGCCCATGTCCTGCATGCACACTGGCTTCTCCCAGGAAAAATGTGGGTTTACTGACAGGCTGCAGGGGTGCCACAGCTCATCACCTCGGGGGGACTCTATTACTAGCCATTTCCTGGACTCAGTAGTTGTGAGGATCTTTAACAGGGGGAATTTTCCACCTAAAGATCCAAAATGGAAAGTGGTGATTCATTACTGGCCTCTGGGAAGTTGTGATTGGTTATTTTCCTCTTTTTACTATACAGTTGATCAGAAGACTGGGTAAAACAGGGACTGACTGTGTTACTGAACTGACTGAGTCAACAGTAGCCCATAGGACCACAAGACAGGTCCTCTTTGGGTAGGAATAACCAGTATTCTGCACCTGGGTACTGGGAGCAGAGCAGGTCCCTTCCCAGAAGCATGTAGGTGCATTCAGCTGTTTGTTGTATAAGGTACTAACACTCTGGAGCATTGAAAGGCCATAATAAAATCAAAAGTCAGGAAGTGCCTAAAGAGCTGGTCAGGTAAGCCCACAGAAAACTGATGCATTTTCCCTACTGACATCACAAGGGCTGATCTAATCATTAGCAATATGGTTGTCTTGATCACACTCCAGGGTTTCTGAGTCTACTATAAGGTAATATAAAGCTCTAAAGCCTCCATTCTGTAACAGCAAATGGCTTTATAACCCAGGTTTGCACTTGTCTTTGTGGTGGTACCTCACCTGCATGCTACAGACAAATCCCCACAGCACTGTAAGACCAAATTCAACCTGGGCCAAGTGCATTGTGTGCTGGGTGAAGGCACATTATGAAGCCCAACTCTTATGCTGATCATTTCAAGATTTCAATTTACTCCTGCAAGCACATGGAAGGAGTATAGCCCAAGAATGTGTGTGCAAAAGGATATATGAACAGAAGAAATAGCAGGTGCTTTCAGTGTCTCGTTGTGTGGGATTTAATAGCCACCTCTGTTTCCTGCCCCAGGCTGGCCCAAAGACTGCAGCGAGATCCCTGCTGGCAGCCGCAGCGGTGTCTACATCATCCAGCCGAAAGGGCTCCACCACATTGTGGTGTACTGTGAAATGAATGTGACACATGGGGGCTGGACGGTCATCCAGAGGAACCAGAAAGACACACCAGTCACCTGGGCTGAGTCCTGGAGCACCTACAAGTACGGCTTTGGGAACGTGCGCACTGAGTACTGGCTGGGCACTGAGTACATCCATCAGATTGCCAAGCAGAAGGTCTACCAGGTCAGATTTGTCATCCAGGACTCCTCAGACAATATCAATTTTGCAGACTACAACCTCTTCAGTGTGGAAGATGAGTCCCACGGCTACCGGCTGAGGCTGGGCTCCTACACAGGGACAGCAGGGGATGCCATGACCTCAGACAATCCCAAGACCATGCACGACAACATGAAGTTCTCCACAAAGGATCGAGATCAGGACACTTACAGTAAGAACTGTGCCTACAGCTATGAGGGTGGGTGGTGGTATTCAGCCTGTTACTCTGTACGGCTGAATTTCAAGGGTGGCATGACATGGGGCAGCCTGTGCAAAGGGAACTGCAAATCCTCCCTTATCCTCATCAAACCAGCTTCATATTGTTAGTGCTTCTTCCCCCACCCGTCCATACTGGACACTCTGCGAAGGCTCTGCATGGCCAAAGAGTTCAAGCCTTTCTGGAGCAGAAAGAGAAGCCCAAGGGTAGTAGGGTTGTAGTGAAATGTCACTTTCCAATTGCCCTCTCTGAGTGCAGGCTCCCCCTCTGCTCAGCTGTTTTCCCCTGTGCTTGTCAATGATTCCTTGTTATTATGTTCATAATCAAGAATAAACAACTACTTGTGAAATGTGTGGATTCCACACGTACCTTCCCTGCGGGAGGAAGACACTCAGCCCTCGAGTGACTTTTCATCAGAGTTTCTTATCTGCCTCCAGAACTCACAGCAAGCAAAACAAGCTACATGCCACAATTTTCTATATACTCTGTGCCTCTCTGCATTGTCTGTAAAGCATCCCAATAAATTTGCTTCCTTGAGCTCATTTGCCATTAATGAACATCTGCCCTGTATCTCTCATATGCTCCCACTGAGACAAAGGGTGCTAGGACTCAAGCTGGGTGCTAGGACTGAAGTCTTGGGGCTTATGGAGGGGAAAAAAGCCTTGAGTGGTTCTCACAAGAATGGATGTAAGAAAATTAGGTCTAGTTACACTGACATAAATCACCCGTGATCTGCACAGCAGGACTCAGAACGAACGTGGCATGGGAGAGAAGTCTTCCCACATCATTACTATGGTCACAGTCCAGGGGCAAAAGCTGTGCCAATGTCCTGGTACCAAGGTTTCGTTCCTGTTGTGAGGCTGCATCTGACAGGATTTGTTCCTTGCTACCTGTTTGTCTGCACAGTCATGCCATGATCCTGTAGAAACATGACTTCAAAGTCATCAGTAGATCTGTCTGCTGTGACCAAGAAGCAGTGAATGTATATAGAAGCAAAAGAGAAGTAGGTTAGGTATGAAGAGGCTCTACCGAGGGAAGAGCTCACTACCGGAATAGGTTCACCATACCCAAGTTCACGAGACCAATTTAGATGAACCTTTGCCACGAAAATGTTGTGGTTTGAGCCCAGCGGGTCACTCAGAACCACGCGGCTGCTCGCTCACTCTCCCCCTTCTTCCTTCCCCCGCTCCCGGAGGGATGGGGAGGAGAATCGGGGGAATGTAACTCCCATGGGTTGAGATAACAGCTCTCCAGTAACTAAGGTATAATACAAACCACTACTGCTACCAATAATAATGATAAGAGGAATAACAAGGGGAGAGGACACACCCGCTGACCGATACCCAGCCCGACCCGAGCAGCGATCTGGGCCTTCCGGGTGACTCCCCCCAGTTTCTATACTGGGCATGACGTGCTGTGGGATGGAATAGCACTTTGGCCAGTTTGGGTCAGGTGTCCTGCCTCTGCTTCCTCCTGGCTTCCCCTCCTCTCTGGCAGAGCATGAGACTGAGAAAGTCCTTGGTCACAGTAAACATTACTTAGCAACAACTAAAAACATCGGTGTTATCAGCGTTGTTCCCAGGCTGAAAGTCAAAAACACAGCACTGCACCAGCTACTAAGAAGGAGAAAAAATGACTGCTGTAGCTGAACCCAGGGCAGAAAAGTACAGACAGAGCTCACGAGGTGAGGGTGAGGGACAAGGCCTCTACACCTCCTCCATCCCCCAACACTCATGCACTGCCGGGGCAGACTGTTTCACCTTCATAAACCATTTCTGGCTTCGTCTTGGGGCAGCACCACAACAGCAGTGAGTTCCACTTCCAGGACTAATGGCGAAAGGAAAACCCAGCCCTCACCCGCCAGCTGCAGAGCCCAGTGCCCATGGGAGCCATCCAGAAAGGTTGGAGAACTTAGAAAATACAGAAAGAAACGAGCAGTGGAGGATCTCTGAGCCAGAAAGTACTTTACACTGCTCCAGAGAACTGCCCGCAGCACTGTAGAGCACAGGGGGCACCTGAACATGGAGATGTCTGAGGGAAAAGAGAGCTCAGGGCTACTTCTACTGAAAACAGTTCTCAGGTAAAGCAGGCTGCCCCCAGCACTGAGTCCCCCCAAACCAGAGCACAGAGGACTGGTGGGACCTTGGTGCACAGCCCCTGCCCTGCCATGGGCACTGCAGCACAGGGCGGCTCCATGATGGATTTGACGCTGGCTGGAAGAGCAGCTCTCCTTCACCAGCAGCACGAGCTGGCAGCAGCAGGTGGAGGGTGGCTGTCAGGAAGGTGCCTCCAGCCCCGGTGTCCCCAGAGTGGATTTGGCTTCTGAAGTCAGCAGGCTCAATGACTTCAGATGGCACTGGGCAGACCGTGAAATGACACCACTGCTGCTCCTGGGCTGCCGGGGCTTCCCGGTGACAGGCAAAACTGGAACTGCATTTGCACAGCCAGCCTAAGGAGCAAATGGTCCTTGTCCCAGAAGGGCTGTATTCTGCTAGGGTTCCCCAAAGGCAGTGGAGGGACACACACCAGCAGATGCAGGTGAGCATCCTAAAATATCCTCCCAGTACAGAAGCGCTGGAACCCACCAGCCTGGGAGGATGGGCTCAGCAAGTTGGTGTCCCTCCACCACAGCACATCCCTGTCTACAAACAGGTTCTCATCTCTCCTACTGGAGCAGCAGCTCCACACAGCACCTTATTCCAAGCTACGCTTTCAAACGCTCCCTAAATCCCGTCGGGCTCTTAGCCATGCACAGCAGTGGCCTCCAGCCCCTAGCAGCTCCCCTTCACTCAGCTCCAGGAGCCAATGTCAGTTTGAGGTGGCATCTGAAGTCAAGCAATGGACATTAAATGCTGTCTCCCATGAGATATTTGCTCCCTGGGAATGTCCTGGCAGGACAGTCTCTGCTCCAGCGGCAGTAGATGGCTCTCCCTGCAGCTCAGTTTTTTCACTAATGTAAAACCTCCCAAGGAAGCAATCCCCACCTCCCATGAGGTCTTGGTTTGCTACTTTTCCCCCACTTCTCCGCCACATCTTTTACTTAAAGAGTAAGAATAGGGCAAAGATACAAGATGAGTTTCCAGCAGAGATGTTGTGAAGCGGAGCTGAGTCTTCAGGCAGGTTTCTGCTCCTTGAATTTTTCTTTTAAGGTCTCGGAATCCCTGCAAACATTTAGTGACCACAATGTTTTGTGGCAAGCAGCTCCCCAGCATGAGTGGGACAGCACTTCCCACATCTCCAATCCCCCAGGGGTGCAGTGTAAGGGGTGAAGCCACTGCAGTGACAAGTGGGATGCACACAGTGCAGTGCAGCACAGGGCACACACAGTGCAGTGCAGGATGCTGCACTGTGCAGTGTAGGGATGCATATAGCGTGGTGCAATGCAGGATGCACACAGCAGATTGCAGGCAGAGCATGCACAGAGCTGGGTGAAAGTGCAGGAATCTCCCCCTCTACTCTGCTCTGGTGGGACCCCCCTGCAGTCCTGTGTCCAGCTCTGG